CGTCACGTTGTGTATATATATATATATATATAATTAATACAAAGGTCGTCCGAATGAACATCGTATATATAATAAAAAAATTGAAAAAAGAAAGTAAGAAAAATTGAGGAGAAAGGAGAAAGAAAGAGAGAGAGGGGCAAAAAGTCTCATTACATCTCACTGTTCGAGTTCGTATGCGTGAGATCGATCAGATCGCGGGGCACGTAATAATGACCAGCGGCCTTCGCGAGAAAGCACCGAGGCCGCGCACGTGTTTCCCTTTGCACTCGCGCGCGATTTTGCTGTAACTACACGCTCTCGTTTTCTCGAAATCACCTCTTCGAGGGTATCGCTTCCTCCTCGAGGGCGCGCGCTGCTCGAAAGGCGGCGATCACGCGAAAAGCAGGAGCGACCGCACGCAACGACAAGTGAGCCAGTTTCGCGTTTCGGCCTCTTCAAGATCCTCTCGCAAAAAATTGAAATTTATTCGAATCTTATAAAGATTTATCAAACGTAAAACGAACTTCATTTCAATAAATCGATAATGCGATAGAATTTTTCTGGGCTAATTTATTAAAATGTTCTAAAAAGTAAATAGCAAGAAAAATGCTATAATAATCTAATATATCATTTGCAGTTGCAGAAAAGGGGTAGGTGAGGTTCTCGACTTTGATCGGCGAGAACGAAGATTACACCGACTCTTTGAATTGCCGTCTCGTTCTAACTTTTTGCCCTCCGCAAGAAACTTACATCTGTGTGGCAAGTAAGAAGTTCCGATCCAATTCCGACGACGGTGGGCGAGAAGTTTTTCTTGATCCTCTCGAACTACGCACGTTGAGTGACTGTGAAAGAGCTTTACGTGAAATTATATGTCGTAAGCGTTATCTATGACAGATATTCGGCTTGTATACATTACGACTGGATCCCTCTTTCCGAGTTTGAGATCCTCAAGATATGTGCAATTCGAGACAAACTATTCCTTAATATTCCTTCTCGAAAATTAAAACGATCTTTTTCCCGAGAAAGTTTAATTAAATGCCGTTATGTTTCTTCCATGTTTTGGATTTTTAACATCCAACGTCTAGGCAAATATACAGATAAAATAAAAAATTAAAATTAAAGTAGATTATATTTAAAAAATTATAAAACAAAAATTTAAAAAGATAAGAATAAAATTAAAAAATAAAACTAAATAATAAATAAAGATTTACATAATATCAAAAAATATAGAAAAAAGAAATATAGATGTTTAAAGACAATTATAAACAACTGGTCATATCATTTCATTTAGAAAGGAATAGCTTGGCATGTATATCTGTAATTCTGAAATATTAGTCCTATTGATGAATGGATTAAATTCTATATTTTGAAAAAGTAATCCGCTTCCCTCTTCCCCTTTTGAATTATTTTTCTAAAGACGCGGGATACAAGCTGACTTGGACACATGCCGTAATTTACATTCGTTATCTGTTCTCCGCTTGTTGTGTGTGTGTGTGTGTGTGTGTGTGTGTGTGTGTGTGTGTGTGTGTGTATGTGTGGTGTGTGAGACAACCTTTCTCTACTCGGTTAGGATACTACCATTTTTCCGATACTGTCCACTTTTCACAGTAGGATCCTAAATCGATGGTGACACGTGCCGTGTCCGTATTACGTCACGGAAATTGATTTTACATTTCGATCTTTACAACTAACTCAAAAGAAGCTTTTATGTTTTCCTTTTTGAAAGAAATCGAAGTTCAACTTGAATATTTATAAATATTAATCGATATATTATCTCACACTGTTCTATACATAATATCTGAAATTGTGGATTCGTGAGTAAGAAAAGTTAAACTATATATCAAATTATTTCTTATCAGACATAAAAAATATAGTTTTTACTGACAATGATTTACTTGTCGTGAGTTATAAAAAAATAAACATTAAAATAATGACAAAATCGTGCTAAAATTATAATATGTACAAATGACTCACTAATATGGGCTCATTTCCAAATTAAAACTAATCTTCAGACTGAAGTTGCAACTAAAGCTATAATTAAAATTACTTTTTACTCAAACTCTATATAAAGTGTTTACATCCTAAAAAAGTTTATTTTTTATATTTTCTCTTTTCTTTTAATAGCCATTTGACTGTTAAATAAACTTATCGTTCATTCATGCTACAAATAATAATTAACACAATTACAAGTAATAATTAACGATAAAAAAATTAATATTTGCAAAAGACAACTAATTTTATCAATAAAAAGCGAATGCAAAAATTATAAATATAACATTATAAATACGAATAGTAAATCTTTTTTCTATTTATTATATAAATAATGTGAATCAAATCATATTACGATTACTAAATTTTATTTCATTAAATATTATAGAGCCTTCTATCTCTATAAATTCAATACTTCGTGTGTATTATTATTATTTCAAAAAAAGATATCTATAGAATGTTCAGGAAGTAATATTTCTGTCAGTAATAAAAATTTATATAATTTTTAATTCCACGTGATAATTTTTATCTAAGCTATATATTTTTTATTAGTAGAAAACAAGTATAAAAACAACGAAAATGTAAAGTGAAGTTAATATGCAACAATGGAAATTCCAAAATTTTTGTTCATCACTGTGATTGCTATAGGACTAAGCGGTTCGCTAACATGGGCTAATCCTTTGGCTAATCCTGAAGCCGAAGCTACAGCCGAAGCTGGTCCTGAAGCCGAAGCTATTGCTGAAGCTATAGGCGAAGCTGAACCTGCATTTCCTCTATTACCTCTAATATCTCTTGTAAGTTTGTCAATTTATATGATACTTTCATCAATATATAAAAATATAAATTTAAACTATAATATTGTATTATTTAATATTCTTTTCTTCTCTAGCTGGTATCCCTCATTCCAGCTATAAAAAGCGGTTAGAACGCAAAATTAAAATGAAGACGATTATTATGCTCCGATATTTTTGCGCTGCGTTATAAATAATTGATTATATCTATATGATGTGATTAAATAAATAAATGAATACGAATATGACAATATCATCAATATTTTATTTTACATACTATCCAAATAATATATACAAAAATTCCTATATCTAAATGCTTTTTAATTGTATTTTCTTTTCTATTTAAATTTCTTTTCTATTTAAATTTTCTTTTCTGTTTAAATTATATTGCCCAATTAATACAATATTAATAAAAATGAAAGTATATATACCATATACTTTCATAAATTTATATTTAATTTATATTTATTTATATCACATTAATTTATATCCTTTTTTACGAAAGAATTTTTTTACAAACTTACAATTCTTTTTACAATCTTTTTCATATTTTCTATGCATATCAAATATTTTGATGTCTAGCATTTCATGGAAAAAAATGTGTTGAAATTAATTTTTCTAAAATTTATAATGAAATATGAACTGTGATTATTATTT